GAAAGTTGAGGCTTGTAAATATATCCCCACCTGGGGGAACCCAGGTGAATGGGATTAATACAAATTGAGACCCTGAAGCCCATGGCCAGTGGACAGTGAGTGAGCCACCCACACAGTAGCTCAGTGTGCTACTACTACCTGGGCTGTAGCATGGGAGGGGAGAAGACCTCACACTCCCAAGTATTCGAGGATCCCGTGCCTGCATTCCTCTGTCCTGGTGGCTAGGGGGTTCTTTGTGGGATGAAGTGGGAGTTATAGACATTTCATGATCTACATAAGATCATAGAGGGGTAATTTTGCTCACCTCCAATTCTAATTAGTTCTGTGTACATCATGTCAGAGGAATCTGTCAGAAGAGACTTAACATTTTAACAGATGAAATCTTAAAATGTGTCCCCTGACCTTCAAAAGCCATGTTCCTGAGCCAAACAATTTCTCTGGTGTCTGTCTTGCTGCAAAGTGACCATGGTGCCCTACAAGGAGCTCACATGACTTCTCAGGGGCTACAGGGTAAGGCTCTGAGGAAACAGTGGGGCCTGACCTTCATCTTGTTCACTGGTAAAACACCAAGAAATGACAGCTGTCTTTATACTAGTAAAATACAGTAAGGAATGCCACATAGGATACCAACTGGATGGCTGATCCCTCTTCCTTCTCAATGAGACCAGGAAAAGGCTGAAGTGAAAGTGGAATTAACCATTCCCTGCTTCCTGACGCTGCAGGTAAGCAGTCCACTGCTAAAAAACAAGCCAAAACTCAAGTGATTTTATACCACCAAACAAAAAATTCAAAAATACAGATATGTTGCTTTTCATAATTAAGTCTATTCTAACGTCAGTTTTGTGAATCCAGTCATAAATACAAGGGGACAAGGCAGCTCTCAGGCACAGTACTGACAACATAGGACTATGAGTTCACTATCCAACATCTTGATTTCTGCCTGCCTGACATCTCACCACTAGAGTCCTCCTGGCTTTTACATCTGATTCAAGGAGAGTTATACAGTCTTATATCAACAGCTCTAGGAAGGGAAACATCTTTAGCTACTATCCCCTAAGGCCAGCAGTGTTGTTTTTTAAATTTTTATTGTACCTAATTCCTCAGGGTGGTATCACAAGAGACTTCTGTTCTGGGTCAGAGGAAGTTACTAAGCTTCGCATACAAAGGGACTGCAGAGGTGCCCAGAATACCACTCAGTACATTCACCAGCTCTGGTCATGTCTGAAGCTGATGCGCCCTCTGAAGTCTCCTGCTGAGTCCTTTCATCATGACATATGAAGCCTTTGCTGAAGCATGCTCTAGTACCCAGGCTAATCAAGTATGACTTTGGGAGTCTGGATGCTGGGAGACGTATCCTCCCACTCTAACACAGTTATTATCTTTGGGGGATTATTCAAACCTTAACTGTTTGTTACTGTGTTACTTGGTGGTGTGAACATTTTTCCACTTCAAGTGAATCAATGGCAATTTTGTAAAGTACTTTGAGTACTTTGAGACACTAGGATGTTTAGATATTTCTTGGACTGGGAAATACCTTTTTTAGGGAAAAAGTAGCCCTCAGACTAGTCATGTTCAAGACCATTTACTTTAGGTAGGTCCTTCCTGGTCTGTGGATGAAAAAACTTGGGAGACAGCCTCTGGGAAATGGATGTCCGGGCATACGCATGTTAGTATTCATGCTGGTACAGGTACCTGATTACCTCACCTTCTCAGGTTCTATGGGCATCAAGATCCTTCAGTAATAAAACGGTTTCAGATGCATGAAATGGCAAATGTAACAGTACAAACACAAAAATGTTGAATCTCACAGAAACAGGAAGTCTACAAGGAATGAGCTTTGAGTATAACTGTACCTTGTTCCAAGTGTCCCCAGATACTAGGCCTAAAATCTAAAGACTCCGAAAGCTTCGTAAGACCTACTGTGAGCTCTGTACAATGGCAAGATTCTTCACATACTAAAAACTATGGACATTTTCTTATCATTATGCCTGATTGAGTAAGGTGATTCAATAACTCTTCTGTTTTCGTTCAGCTCCTTTCTAGTAATGAAACCCTCTTTTGAATAAGTTTCTGATATTTTTTGTTTAAGACAAGGTCTTTGTGTAATCCAGGCTGACTTAAACTCACTCTGTAGCCCAGGTTGGCCTGGAACTTGAGATCCTCTTGCCTCAGTCCCAACTGCTGGGTTAATAGGAGTGCAACACCATTTCTGAGCCAAGTTTTTTAGAACCCACTGGCATAAGCTAATATCATCCAATGAATAGATACTTCTGCTGAAAAATTATTTTGTACTACTCTTCCTTCTAGAATATAAGAAACGGGAGGGCAGCCCTACCAGTTCTCATCACCACTATATTCTGTGGAGGTATTTGCATGGTTCTTATTACAGAAAGGCTCCTGGTAAATTTTGCTAAACGAGTAAGATGAATACCTAAGTGACTGACCAACTTCCCATGATCCCCAAGATCGGCAAGTACTTGGCATAGGAAGCTGTTGGTAGGGCAGTGTAAGTTCCTACACAGTTTTAGATAACCATGTGTAAGAAAGAGGATGTATGCTGGGGAGGGCTGCTGAAGTTTAGGTAACCAGGGACCCTAGGAAATAAGCAGCTAATCACGTAATCCATACTGTTTTCTCTTTTGACCTCTCTTGACCAGTGCTTGCTTAGCAAACTTCTGTGGAAGCCACAGAATAAATATGTTCAGTGTTTTAGGCCATATGGCTTCCACTGCAGTTATCTGACTTTGCTATTGCATCTTACAAGCAGCTACAGATCATCTGTAAACGAATGGGCAGGGGCATGGCTTTGTTCCAATGAAACTGGCACTGAAAATCAAATCTCAACTGATTTTCACCATGAAATACTCTTCTTTTGTTTAAATGCTTTTTTCTTGTCCTCTAACCATTTAAAATGTCAAAACTTTTCAGCTTGTGAGGGTAGGCCTGTACTCTATAGTTTGATAAGCACTATGGTATCAGTCTAGCAACTCTTTCAAGCTGTGAGGGAATGGAACCTGTCAGAATTAGCCTGCCCCTTCTTCCATTAAAGCAAACTCTCAAGCAAAATAGATTATTGGAATAGTTACCCCAGGTAACTGTTACACCATAACATCCAGCCAGGACAATTTACTTCTATTTCAAGTTGAAAAACCTGCCTTCAGTTTGACTTAAGATTGAAAGAAATCTATGATAACATGAAATCTGCAAATGATCAAAGAATACGCTTATCAGTGTGTACCACTTCTAGGTCACATGACCAAATGACCAGAGTAAAGTTGTTAGGGAACAATAACTTTCCTTAAGATGGATCACCCCTTTCTCTTTGTGGAGGGTCAAGAGTAATTAATAAAACATATTAGGTTCCTAAGTAACAATGGCCCAACATTCAAATGCCACTGCAAAAACCAGACTACCTCTGATAATTTACTTCAGACTGTCATTAATTCTATCACTAAATGCAGAAAAAGGTCACTATAAAATTCACCATCATCAAAATCCAAGTAATAAGAGTTATAGTTTATTCTGTAGAATCTAGTTTGTAAAAAGGCCTTACTGTGCTTTTAAACATACTTGAGGGTAGGATAAGTCTACTATTTCTTTTTCTCTATCAACATACTAAATTTAAAGATGTTTCCAAAGACATTAAAAAATCAGAAGGTTTATGATGTGCACTTTACTTGTATACTGTTCTAGTAAGTTTGAATTTGTCGTGTGAACCAAAAGTACTAACTAGCTTGAGAAAATGACTTTTGAGAAAAATCCTCCTAAAAAATACAATTTGTCATATAAGATGATAACTAATTTTAAAAAAATCCTTTCTATCCTGAAAAGTCACAACAAAAAGTTTAAGTGTGTTTGGGCTGATTTTTCTCTGCAACTATTTGAAGCTGTAAATGACTTAACTCAGTAAAATTCCAAATGTAATTATCTTCTGTACTTAGCCTACGGCTCTCCATATATCTCAGCATTGCTGTCTCGCATACAAAATAAGCTTTCGATGGCTGGTCCCCGTGTAATGTACAGCACTGTTTTAATTTCCCCTGGTCGGTTCACCTCTTGCCTACACTGCACCAGGCAGAGGAGACGGCGCAGTGAGTCATCAAGCACTCAGAAGCCTTCTGGAACTGGGCTGCATAAATGGGGTTTGCCAGGTCAGGCTTTTGCAACTGTACATTTTAATAATTTCCATTTCTGACCCAATTTTTACTTTCAGAAACTAATTTTCTATTAATTATATGAAGAATGGATTAGTGTTAATATATGGTGGTTCACCAACAAGTTGTACTGTACCAAGAGGTAGAAACCATGTTAAAAATCTGCACAAGTTTATCCAACATACTTCAGAGGACTTCCAAATACTTTTGTCTGTACTTACACATATACAGCATATTTGTGCACATGCTATGTATTATATAGGTACATATTTGTATGTATGATATGTGCAGTGAACTCTCATATCATCCTTAGTGATGGAGAAAAATGGGAACACAAAAAATGAGGAATAAATCCTCCTATCACTTCCATTGTGGCTTTGGAACACGTTTTGTGTGTGCTCACTCGCCCGTCCTGGTCACATGCTCCCGTCCTCGCTCCATTCACGTGCATTTTCATTCAGTCTCTCCCCAGCTTATCTTCTGAGCTCCAGTTTAACAATATTAGCACCTTCAGGGGTTTGCACCAGCAACAAATAATCAGAAAGTTCAAAAGCAAAGAGAGAATGGAGGGAAAGCAAGGGAAAGACAGGACTGCTTGAGGTGGGCACTGAGTGCCAGCTGCGGACACATTACTATGACTTCCAGAGACATCCGTGCATCAGTTTCAAAGAGAGGACGGAAGCTGAACTGACCCCCAGAAAGTAAAAATTAAGCATTAAAAAGGACAACAACAAGCTTTTGACTTTCCATTCAAGAATGAGTACACAGGAACTCATTACAGAACACTACAGAAATGGCAGAAGTTGAGGAAGACTGAGGCAATATTAAAAATAAATATGGCTTTAC